CATATGCATGGAGTTCAAAGGTCAATCTTGAGTGTCCGGTACCATTCATCTTTTTTTTGGAGATGGGGTCTCTCACTGGCTTGGAAATCACCAGTTTGGCTAGACTGGCCCCGGGGACCCTCCTGTCTCTGCCTCAGCTCTGGGATTGCAAAGGTGCATCACCACACTTGGCTTTAAACATGGGCTGGGGATCTAATTCATATCCTCTCCTCATGCTTGAGCAGCAAACACTTTATCAAAAAGAGCTATCTCCTTGGCCCCTTATTTTACATTTTTCACTCTAAATATATTGCCTTTTGCCTTTAATATTACATATCAGGACCATGCGTTTGGGAGAATATGTTTAGGTCAAATTGGTTTCCTTTTATTTTTGTTTACTTGAGATGGGCTGCCATGCATCCCAGGCTATGAGCCAAGGATGATGTTGAACTTTTGATCTCCCTGCCTTTACTTCCTTGTTCTGGAATTACAGCATGCACCGTTAGGCTCCGTAGTAGTGCACAGGATGGATGGTGAGTTCCATCACTCACATGGACGACTCTAGATCTGCTTCCAGGGCAGTTATTCAGGTGATTCTCCCAGTAAACTGACACAGACAGGGCCAAGGGCAGTGGGTCCCCTGCCATTGACTTGCTCTGTTACCTGAGTGAGTCCCTTAACCTCAGCTTCTGCATCCGAGGTGAGTTGTTCAGTGTCGCCATTCTGGAGGACACATGCAGACTCTGTGGTGCAATGGAGCTCACGTGCTTAGCACAGGGCCTGGCTCTGAGGAAGGTCTTAATCACAGGAGAAAGTATTGCTGCCCATTGTGTCAGACCCCACAGGTCTCGTCCCTCTTAGGGAGCTCTTTGAAGGCAGGGCCATAGTTTCCTACTCACATCCCTGGGGCCCAGCAGAATGCCTGGTACATAGGGCCAAGATCAACAAATATTTGTTTTTACTTTGTTTTGTTTTGCTTGGGATTTTGTTTGCTTATTTGTTTGTTTGAGACAGGGTCTCACTGTGTAGCCCCAGCTGGCTTGGAACTCGCTATATAGACAGACCATCCCAATCCGGCCTCGATCTCACAGCAATCCACCTGCCTCTATCTTCGTAGTACTGGCATTAGAGGTATGTGCCCCGATGCCTGGTGACACGTACTTGTTGACTGGATCGGCCTAAGTGGAAAATTGCTTATAGGCAACTGACCCATCTCTATTTGTTTTTTTAAATTTATTTTTATCTTATGTGTATGAGTGTTTGCCTGTATATATGTAAGTGCACCACGTGCCTGCCTGGTGCTGGAGGAGACAAGAGGAAGGTATTGGACCCCTGGAACTAGAGTTCCAGCCACCTTGTAAGTGTTAGAAACCAAACCCTGGTCCTGCACAAGATGACCAAGTGCTCTTAACCACTGAGCCATCTCTCCAGGCCCTCTTAATGTATTTTTATTACAAATCTAGCCCATCTGCAGCCCAAAATAGTAGCCAAAGTGTTGGTCATCCCTGGAGGGTGCCATCCTTGCCCAAGCAGAGTAGATGGCTGCTAGGAGTCCAGCTCTGCAGTTGCTTTGGAAAATCTGGGCCCTTGGGTAGCTGCGGTCACCTCTGTGCTGCTCCAAGGGACACAGCATCCTCACTGAGCATGTACTACCATGTGCACAGACCTTCCTTCCAGGCTTTATTCTATCAAGCTGAACCCAGACTGAGCAGAGGATTTTTTTTTTTTTTTGGTCTTTTTGAGACAGGGTCCCTCTGTAGCCCCAGCTGGTCTAGAACTCACTATGTAGACCAGGCTGGCCTCAATCTCATAGAGATCTGCCGGCCCTTGCCTACCAATGCTGAGATTAAAGGCATGTGCCACTGTGTCCAGTTTATTTTTATTCTTAATTATGTGTATGCATGTGTGTCAGTGTGGGGGTGTGTGCACATGAGTGCAGGTGCCTGTGGAAGAAGGTATTGGATCTCCTGGAATTGGAGTTATAGATGGTGCTGGGAACCAAAGTCAACTCCTCTGAAAGAGCAATATGTGCTCTTAACTGCTGAGCTCCCTCTCCATCTCTAACTAAGGATTTGGGGGGTGGGGGGTTGAGACAGGGTCTCCCTGTAACCACAGCTGGCCTGGAACTCGCCATATAGACCAGGATGACCTCTAATTCACAGAGATCTTCCTGCCTCTGCCTCCCGAGTGTTGGGATTAAAATCATGCACCACCACACCCAGCCCCAACTGAGGATTTTTAACCACTATCCTCTAATGTTCAATTATATAAAAGTTAATAATATCATGCTTATATGACTATATTCAAATTACAACAAAAATAATATAAACATCAATTGAGCTTTCACCTATCTACTAGCACTGTCTCAAGTGTTTGACAGAAACGTTGGCTTGCTGGGCATAGTGGCATGGTGGCCTGCACTTGAGAGGTGGAGCAGGAGGATCAGGAGGTCAAGGCCAGCCTGGGCTACAACAACAAGCAGCAATAACAATAACTTTAAATCCTTCCAAACATCCAGTGAGGAAGGTTATGTCATTGTCTTTATCTTACAGACAAAGAAATTGAAGTGTGAAGAGTGACTCCACCTGCCTGAGGTCATAGGGCCGGTAAAGAGCAGGATTCCAAAGCAGCAACTCTGGTCTCCAACATTAGCTCCAGAGAATGCTGTTAAGATGCTCCTATAATAAAGATATCAGTATAATACAGATATAGATATAAGATATAGATATGCTGGGTTGTAGCTCAGTTGGTAGAATGCTTGCTTAGCATGCATGAAGCCCTGGGTTCAAGTACCAGCACCATATCACCTGGGCCTGGTAGTACATACCTGTAATCTCAGCAGAGGTAGAAGCCAGAGGATCAAGAGTTCAAGGTTGGAGGTGAAGCCAGCCATGGTCAAGCAGGACCTTTGACTTATCTTCACATAGATGGAACTGGTAAAAGAAAGGAGCGAGGGGCTCCTCCCAAGCCCATGTGACCCCTGAGGAACAGATCCTCAAACGACCTTAAGAGTAAAAATAAATTGGTGGGTCTGGAGAGGTGGCTCAGCAGTTAAGAACACTGGTTGTTCTTGCAGGAGACCCGGGTTCAAATCCCAGCACCCACATGGCAGTTAACTGTCCATAATTCCAGTCCCAGGGGATCCGACAGCCTCTTCCAGCCTCCATGGGCATTGCACTTACCTACATGCACTTACCTACATGCAGGCAATATACACATACACATAAAATAAAAATAATAAATTAAAATTTTTAATTCTTTAAAAAATAAATAAATAAAATAAATTGGTTTATTTGGGCCAACTGTATGGTCTTTTTTTCTTTTTTTTTAACTGTATGTTCTTAAACACCGAAAAGGAAAGTATAACCAAAGATTAAAGTGATCGATGTATTTCTTTAAGAGTCCATGTGTATAGCTAAAGGCTACTTAACAAGAAACAAACACCAAAGGAGCAAATCTTTCAATCAGTAAATGGGTTGAGCTGAATAGACAGTTCTCAAAAGACAGGGGCTGGAGAGGTCGCTCAGAAGTTAGGAGCACTGGCTGTTCTTGCACAGGGTCAGGGTTCGGTTCCCAGCTCCCCATGGTGGCTAACAACTATCTGAAACGCCACTTCCAGGGGATCCAATGTGATATCCCCTTCTGGCCTCCACAGCATTGCACTTATATACATGCAGGCAGAACACTCATACACATAAAATAAAAATTAAAAACATAAATAGCCGCTGGGCGCAGTGGCGCACGCCTTTAATCCCAGGCAGAAGCAGGCGGATCTCTGAGTTCGAGGCCAGCCTGGTCTCCATAGTGAATCCAGGACAGCTGGGGCTACAGGGAGACCCTGTCTCAAAAAGACCAAAAAAAAAAACCAACCACCGCCCCCAAAACCCATAAATAGCCAAGTATTTTAATACTGGCCGACATCCTTAGCCATCAAGGAAACACACATTAAAACTGCTTTGAGATTCTGCCTCGCAGCAGTTAGGATGGTTGTGAGCAGTGTGGTTATAATCAAGGAAGCAAATGCCTGGGGCTGGGGGGTGGGGGTGGGGGGAGAGGGGTCCTTAGTCACTACTCCTAATTCGCTTGCTGACCTTTTGCTTCAATCTTGCTACCTCTTGCCTGGGGCCTCCAGTCAGGTGCAGCTGGGCCTTCCCTTCCTCACATGCTGAGAGGGATTGGGGCTGACCCCTTTGCTAGCTGACTCAGTAGCTTTTGCTCATTCCCGTTTAGTCTTTACTGCGTTTCAGTAGGTCTGGTGGACTGTGGCTTCCATCGTTGACTCCTAGTCATTCATTTCTTCATCAAAGAAGCATTTAAGCCAGGTGTGGTGGTGCAGTCTAATCCCTGCATTCAGGAGGCCGAGGCAGGATTTCCAGATAATAGCAAGCCCCGGCCCAACATTTTAACACACTTTTACTGGACTGCCAAGCCATCCTGCCCACCTCCACAGTGCAAAGTTACTGTTCTCTTGTGTTTTGGTTTGCCCCTAGCTCATGTGAAAGTTTTCAAGTAAATGTTCCTTTTTTCTCCTCTTAAACAGAGCCTGACAATGTAGCATAGGTTGGCCTGGAACTTGTTACTCAGGCTGGCTTTAAACTCACAATCCTCTTGCTTCTATTTCTTTAAAATTTTTTTATTACTTTTAGTATATGAGCATATTGCCTGCATGTATGTAAGTGGACTTGTGTCGTGTAATGCCTGAGGCGGTCAGAAGAGAGTGTTGGATCCTTTGGGACTTGAGTTACAGATGTTTGTCAGCCACCATGTGGGTGCTGGGAATTGAACCAGGGTCCTCTGCAGGAGCAGCCACTGCTCTTAACCACTGAGCCTCTCTCCAGCCTTCCTGCGTCTATTTCTTAAGGGCTGGCATTAGAGCCATGCGCCACCATGCTGAATAGCTTTACTAAATTTACATGTACACGAGAATCTTCACAGTGAAGACCAAAGCATGAGGTTTGTATACACAGCAACAGTGTGAAGGGATGACAAATGGGTCAGCAGTGAGGACCTAAGGTGGGGCAGGAAGTCCTAGTGCCGATCTGAGGGGAGGAGGGGAGGAGGAGGACTCACTTTTATACCCTCGTGAGCTAATGGTATTTGGTGCTCCTCACAGTATCTGTGATGGCCAAGGGCTTTGGGCTGGGTCACAGCAGTCCCAATTCCCATTGTCTGGTGGTCAAGGTTATTTTCCAGTCTTGCTATGTGAAGGGCACACCTTCCCAAACATTCTTTATGCCTTGCTGTGTGTAAAAGGCCAAATGGCCCTTTCAAAAAGTTATAGTTCCTCAAGCAATTTCAGCTTGAAATAATCAATAGGCCAATTTGGCATATTTTTGCCTTAGTTCTTTTACCACTTCGTTATTTTAATGTAAAATTCTATCCAAAGAATTGTTAACTGGGCCGTGAAGTACTGAAAAAAAAAAGACAGAAAAGGACATGAGGGTGTCCTGTTGGAATCGGCCACCCCAAGAGAACTTTGGAACCATTTTGCTTAGCAGCTTGGAAGGGCCCTAAATTTCCATGTTCGGTTAACCCCAGGGCCTTGGGGTTGAACAGGGTTTTAGGGGCTGTTATCGAGCAGGTACTGGAGTGGGAACTGGATGCTGGTGGTGCTACAAGATGCTCTTAATGCTGCTTTTGCTAAACAGTATTGGCTCCTCCCGTGGGCCCACAAGGTGATTACATGCAGGATAGAGTTGGGACTCGCGCATCTCTGTCTTACTTTGGCTCAGGCTCTGGCTTGACTTAGGAGAGGCAGTTAATCAATCAGTGCCAGTCTACCTAACCTATCTTGTTCCCCTTCAGGGCTGAAGACAAAGGCAAGTCACTGTCCTAAACCCTTAGTTGCCTGGAATTCCTAGAAGAGCAAAGAATAGTCAGCCCCACCCAGGTGAGTGGCTTCTTCCTGATGCTGTAGCCCATCCAGGAGCAGAAGTGATCATCCTGAACCACGGACTGACCCCTTCAATGAGGACAGCAAGGACAGCACCTTTGGATTACTTTGCAGAGCCAAAACTGAGACAAGAACAACCAGACACATGACCGAGACCCCTTGATCACAAGACCTCTTGCCCGGCCCCAGTTCTCACTCCATTGAAGCCTAAAGCTCATGTTGGTAGGGCAAAGACATCTGGAGTCACTGTACCCCCTTATCTGTTCCTCTTCCCATGTGG